CACCTTATCCAGTCCCGATCTAAGTCCCCGTTGGCGGGACAGCGCTATCGGCTTTACTTTCAACAAAATGCCCAGTTAGTATTTGTGTGCAACATGGAAATCGAAGAATCGCCTAAATGCGCAGTGCTTCTAATTTGGCAACATGCCGTGATACAAAATATCGACATAGAAATACTAAAAACGTATAAAAAATCTCTAAGAACATATATTTACCAAAAAGAAGGTTATCGACTCCTCTGGAAATGAAATGGCTAATAGTCATGTTTTGGCTGAATACATGTAAAAGATATGTGATACATGCTCGGCCAAACTTCAAGCAGTTGTTTGTACCAATATTTTCAAAACACCGCTACTTGCAGAGATATAGCTGATAACGCAAGGTGTTTTCTTTTGCGTCCAAACGGATGGCAATCAATATCCCGTAATGTAGATTGATGCTAGAGCATTCGATCGTAACTTACTAAGTAACAATTGTCGAACAACCTGTAGTTCTAAGGAAACTAAGCTTCTTTACATATTTTGCCGGTCCTTCTCCTAAAAACCAAAGTAATAATTTCCTTGGCTATTTGCTTACGCAATCAAGTTGATTACTTAACAAAACCGATGGAGGTTTTTATCTTTCATGAACGGTGGTAATTGCAAACTAAAAACAATAAGCTATTATCGTGTGTAGGATACTTACATCTTCTGTTACGAACATTAGATAACTGGTTTCCTGCTAAGCCACTCCTGGGTTATCTTTGCAAATGCTTATATCAATGTCTCTGGTAAATGCTTTCAATATACACATTTGTGGCGTAAATCTCGAAACCGGTTTCAGATTTGTACAAATAAGGTTATTCGAGGCTACGTAAAATGGAGCAAAAATTCATGAGGGGTGTGTGATCTCGCGCCGAGTACTCCAGCTTGTCTGATTATTCTTCATGGATAGCTTACATTACCTAGATAAACGTATCTATGAATTTACAAGAATGATTATCTAGAATAGCACGTCACATAAATATTTGCTGGTTTAGCTTTTCCCATGTATAACTTTCACTTCATTTTTGAAAATCCCAGTTAACTGCAGGATGTGACTTCTTGGATATGTTTTTAGGCATACGCCAACAAACAAATGCTCACCAACCTGCATTAAAAAATTGCCCCTGACTAGGTCTATATACTTTCGGTCAAATCGTATACGTCAGGTGATGAGATTTCGAGCAACATGAAAGTCTAGTAAATTAATTTAGAACAAGGTTACCGTTTGAATTGTTTCTGTACTATAAGATTTGTTAGTACTTGTACAAAGTAGAAATCTTAGAAATAATGATCCAACCGAATCACCGATCTTAAATACACGTCACAGTACGCACATAATTTGAAAAAATAGTTCTTCAAGAACATTGTTAATGCGCAATATAAATATTAGAGCCTGCTAATAAACGACGTGCATATGTAGTAGTCCTAACGGATAAGGTGAACTAAAGTACCTTCGAAAATTGTTCTTTTGTTAGCAGTGCCGAGAGCCGATGCTGTATTTGAAGTCGGTGCAATTGAATGAACACGCCATGAATAACACAATGGGTTTTGCGTCACTCCTGGTAGAGAGTACAAGGATATTAGGTCGTTCATATCCTACCGTAGTTGCGAACGTATTCGCACCCAAAGCATGAAGTTACCGTTCCGGGACTATACACATGTATATGTAGATTGTACTCGTTCTTGGTAGAGTAGATTTACCACATTCGTCAGCGTTGAGAATAACACACTATGTATGCATTATAATCGCAAAATGAGTAGGTGTCATATTGTTTGTAGGGCTCAAAGTAGGCGATAAAATTAAGTCGCTTTTTAGGTCTTCGCCAGAACCAAGTTTATAGACTGGATAGAAGACGACGTGTTATTTTATGTACTTCTCCAATCCAGTAACCTCACGGCTTAATAGTGGTCGTCCCAATGTTTACATGAAGATAGTTTTCCAGAAATAACCAACTTTACTCAAGAAGAGCAACAAAGAGAGTTCTGCTGTAAAACTTTGGTTATGCTTACTGCCACCAGACACCGTGAACATTGGGGATATTTGTTAGGTCTTCATTTATGAGCAGACCGTGATTCTTGATAGTTGAAAAAAACGATAACTGGATGTCTATTCAAAGGAACCCGAAGACTGACTGAATGCCCGCCTACAAGAATTACTTATACTTACGTTGTTTATGAGGCCGGAAATACGTGAGCACGTTCATAAACATTCAAGTTTCAAACACCAAAGGATACTTTGCAGGATCAGTCTTATTCATGTGTATAAGCTACAGAGCGGACTGTTGGAAGGATTCACGAAGTACCCAGATGCCAATCCAACATGATGCGGGACGCTTGTGGCAGCGAAATATAACGCCTTCTGTTTTAATATACGCTTTACCAGTACGTAACACAAACTCAAGAATAAAGGCGCAGTCTTAAAGATGCAGAACAAGTTCATATGATAAGTTGTCGATTGTTGTAATATCAGAACGCATGACATACAGCATGATGACACTTCAATTAATGAAGGAAAATAATGCAAAGATGATTATCACGCAAATTTTTCCATACATGTTCCCGTAGTCCTTTACTGTTAAATAAATGGCTTCATCTCACAACTGAAAAATGTATACCGTCCCGATCAGCCATCCGAGTTCCATAAGAACCGCCTAGAGTCGCTTGAACTCATGGAACGTGATTGTCGCCAAATACTTTGCATCTATGGGATTTACACTTAAAAGCCAAGCAGCTCAAAAAACTAAGTGAAGAGCACAAGTAAACCCGGCTAACATCTCGTCCGACACCGGTCGATACACAGTAACAATGATAAGCTTCACCACAGGATTGTTACGGGTAACAATAGGCGGTACGGTCTCTACGTCAATGTAAAGCAGAAAGATTACTGGGACTTTCAAGAAATGTGCCTAAGTCCGGGGCTAGGCCGAATCTCTATCTCAAAAGGTCATGGTTCACGTTTGATAGGACTGAAAGCATTTACATATATTAGGAAATGCCGGAAATAGCTGAGAAAATTAAGACCATTAACACAGATATGTGCAAGGCCTAGCTACATCGGGTTAATGCAGTTATCGTATAAAGACGCCCGACTGACAAGGAAAAGTCATCCTTTTTCGTTATACCCGTCTCCACATGACAAAACTTGTTAAGGCCTCCCTGATAGAGCTTAAATAGATGATTCTTTTGCATCTAGCATATTTTCCAGATTTCGAATGAGAGGTTATTTTTTCTGATGTCTGCCAATTGAAATTCCTAACAATACGCTTGTTGTTGGAAGAGTTTCAAAGACTGGACGAATTTGGCTGGCTGGCTGGTTGAACCAATTTATCAACAATGGATCTGAAAAAAGCTGGCAAGGCGGACTGACAAAGTTAATTAAAAGATGGAAGCAGGTCACAGAGAGTGAATGTGAACACTTACTGAACCATCTTTACTGAAATTCGAGCGAAACATTGTGTTCTCTATTAGGTAAAGTAATTGCCAGTATTTATATGTAAGTTTTATGAATGGGGCTACTCTTCAATGTCCTCTTACCGTCCTTTTCATGGACTTCTCGCTGATTCCCAGCTCCCCAAACTCTATTTCTAACTCCTAGCTTATGAATACTTCCAAAACTTTTATCGTGCCCTAATGTTCGCCGTGTACTCTATCTACGTTCTTGAATATGACTCAGACTTCTAGTCCGAACTTATTTTTCACGTAGACAAATGTGCCCCATCGACTCAAATGAACTTTTCAATGTTTGCCCATTTTGTTTGTCCCGGCAACATAAATAGCCGTCACCAAACCAAACATTTCCTAGATATGGATGCGATAGTTCTACCTACGTGCTATGTCTACATCTGTGAATAAGTTTCAGATTTTATATTATACTGTCTGCTACAATTTTCAGAAGCCAACCAGACGTCACAGACGATCAGTATGATCAAAAAGTTGAAAAAATATTCAACATAAATATATTTAGTTATCTCTGTATTTAAAAGTACCATTGGCTAAAACACACGATTATTTTCGTCCTTTCTTCTACTTGAGTCACTTCAGGCGTCAGGACGACTGACTCCTCGTAAAGGTTATTTTCTGATATATAATAAATAAATATAATAATTCATAAAATAAATCGTAAAACCCATAAACCTCGAAATCATTTGATAGAATATGTAAAGGATTTCCGGCATAACTTAGGTCCTACTATGGCGGGTTATTTATCCAAGTGAACATGCCTTTAATCGCTATTTCTAATACTAGAAAAAAAACAGTTCTTTCTAGAAAAAAATCAGAGACTCATAGTAGCGGAGACGCGAGGTTCCTACTCGGAATATCAATAAAGATCAGCTGAATGTTCTCGCGACGGACAAGCTTCTAACTATGCTGTCTACGCAGCTTATTTTTATGATTATTATATATGTACTGTATATATATGGGCTTTAAGGAATCTGAAAAAATCCATCCAAAAGTCAATATAGGAGATCCATAACAACGATTAAACTTGAAAGGTCGAGTTCATCAAGAAGCGCGCAAGAAATCACTTCTGATAGTTCATGAAATTTAACGTCCATATAAGGGGCTGCTTGCGAGACTCGAACTACCTATCGTTGTAATGCAGACTGTACCTGCGTGTGTCTTTTTGACTTTTTAAGTCTTCTTACTCCTTTAAGACTTTTTGCATTTTTAGTTTTTGGATTTCTGGGATCGCTGGAATACTGCCCGCTCAAAATTTAAGTCTGTTGGTTCTTCTTTATTTGTGGCATAATTGAGCACACTTTCAGCGAGTCGAAATCTATCATGCTTCACTCATAAATATTTACTAAAACTTATACGCGAGTTTACACAGTCAATCTTGGCAGTAGATTTTTGACCTGAGTAGGTTCTGAATCAAAGTCGTGATCGAATTCAATGGTAGATATTTTTTTATTATTAAATATGTATATCATGGATGAATCTGTTGCCACATGCCAATGATTTATCGTCGTTTAGGTGCAGCAAATAGGCAAGCGATATCAAGTTTATCCCAATTTATTTCGAACATTTTGTATATGGAGAAATGAAAGTTAATACATTTATGATTTGATAAGTGAAATCTTTGTTTATGAAAAGATCTTTTACCTTCTGTTTTACCAAGTTGCAGTCTCTCTATATCTATAACATATTTAGCACATTTGGCGTCACATGGCCACTCTGCTGATAAGAACTTAGGAGAGAATGAGTAATGTTGATACGCTGATCTTTCATCTCTTTTTCGTCGTATGTTGACAGATTTCTTCCTATGACATGAGTAGTTTCTGGGAAGTTCGCCAGTAATCCAGTTATCGTGAAGTATACTATGCTCTGTGCTAAATGCTGAATAAATTCCAGCAATGCAATGGTACAGCAACCTGAGCGTATATGTTTTCCGTATATATGCCGTAACAGGTGATTCGACCACCTAGCAACAAAAAGGAGAATTGGAAGCCACAAGGTAGCAAAACAAATCAAGAGAATACCCGGAATGACAGCCAAAGACGTTCCGCAGAGGTACGAGTGCAACATCAGTAGAGGACCCAGGCCAGGGATGCAAGCGATGCTTAGTAAAGCTCTCTCAAGTTCGGGACCATCACCAAACAATGTTGAGGTTAGCAGCGAAGGACGCGTGTATGGTATGCAACGAGCGGTGGCAATACGAAACGAAGAACTGATGGTAGACGCGTGGATTACAGCCACGAATCCAGTCAGCGAGAAGAGTAGATTAACCTTTGGATACTCTTCGTATACAGCTGAATCTATTAGAGCGTATTGCCTAAGTGAAATAGAGACAACGTAAAATTGAATCATAGAAAACGTTATGAACCAATCGCATCTTTTTTTCCATTTGGCAACAAACAACTGTACACAACTGTACATATGTGCAACAAATCTCTCATGCATATCCTCTATACTATTTTATCAAGCCGATAAGTAACTTGGAGCATTTTCTGTGTACTGCCTTTTCCGGATACCTCTTCTTTTGTTCTACAAGTCTATTCCGACAGTCAAAATACGACAATTTTTACCTTTTATAAAAGAAAAAATGTGGTTAGTACGTTAGATATAAACGACACAATGGTTTTAGTGAAAATCGATTAAGGTCGATGATTGTATTTCACGCCTTTCTGCACTAGCGGGTACTTTAATGAATAAGAAACAAGCCGCCTCGAACACATGGCAAAAAAATTAAAGCATATAAGCCGATTAAAATTTTTAAAAAATCTCAAATTTTCTAATGCATAGATGATACTAACTAATTTGTATTCCTCCGAGACATCAAAATCGCGTAAAGAAGGTCAAAGAAACAGTCAGAAAATTTATTTGCCTTGCAGCGTTATTAATTCAAAAAGACTTAGTGTGTAAGTCTTAGTTTTTATATTGTGTGCAAGAAAATCTAAATATAGTAACTTAATACTTACAAAGAACAATTCTGGCACTCATATATTTTAACTGCCTCATTTCGTCTTTCATTGCAAATTCGATGTTAGTAGATAAAATCAGCTTTGGAAGCAATACCCAGCCTTAAGAGAGAAATAGTATGGTTTATAGGTCTTCCTTCTATCTTAACGTATAATAACGATGTGTTTTAAACAAAGGAACACAAGGACGGTTTCTGACTGTGATGACTGTTACAAGCGAACCCGGTGGACTTTGAAATTGAGCAACTTTAGAGCTTACTTAGGCTAGAATGATGATTTTTTAATATAATAATGTTAAAAGGTACTACCCTTTATTTGTACTATCATTCTGACGTCATATATTTACTATTCACATTCCCATACGCAGTTTCTCTATCTATGGCTTCCTAAAGTAAATCGATAATCGGACATGCTTGCCCATTAGTTGCCTTTTTTAGGACATGAAAAGCCTCTAAATCATACGGACGTAGGACGGAAAAGTAAGCGGGTTGATGCCAACCTTTGCTCAATCCATCAAGTAACTGAGGCATGACGATGAAGTCTGGCATTGTCGTCAAATAACGAGACCGCGTGTCTTCGGTTGCCGTACCAGAAGTCCATGGGTCTTGAGATAACGGGCGGCATTCTGTGTTTCATTTTTGGCGAGCATCTCATAACAGCAGATGCCTCTGATGCTTATCACCTTACATCCAAAACCACTCGACACCGTCATCGAACTCCATTTTTATTTACTGCAACGCCATGCGCTCGTCTTGTTTCTCCACGGCTGGATCGAATCATGTCGCGCCTATGGCGATCGTGGGTTCCAGTTGGGTTTTCTGTGAGATAAGTCCCCCAAACTGTACATGGAATACATCACACGTGTTGCCGACAATTTGCGAGATATCCACTTCTTACTTGGTTTTCATATCTTCGGTATTTGGCTTGTAATTCTGTGATACCTAACATGTGAAATGCTTATTTTGACGAACAAGTTTTTTAGAAATCTAAGCTTTTCGTGAATGACCTCTCCGGTTGCGGCAATACGTTCTTGTCTTTCAGGTCCTGAGGTCTGACTGCTCCCTCGCTGGTCAGCTCCTGAAACGTTTGCGCCTAATATCTTCACCTATCTCCAATAAATTTCCACAGCGCTGTGGCCTTCGAGAAACAAAAACTTAACTACTTAACGTTGGTTTTCGAGGCAAAACGAATTTTTTCCTCCTAAGCTCTATCTCTCATTGACTTAACCGCTTTCCACTCACAAGTTTCTAGAGAACTGGAGTATTTACCAGCCAAATGTCGTCTGCTAGCGGCGCTCGGTGGCGGCGACTAGTCAATTTTCGTCTGCTAGCGGTAGTTTAAAAGTTACTCAATTTTAAAGTCCGCCAGATTCGCTTGTAACCAATATATAACATCGGACAATCTGTAAACGAAAAAAAGAGAAAGCGAACCAATAAACAAAAAGTTGCATTTTTTAATTAGCCATTTATCCAAAGAGCTTCAGTAAATATGTTTAATAGTAAACATCGAAGACGCTTAGACAAAAAAACCTGGGCCATAAGTTATCCACAAACTTAACATTTCGATTTTTATTTAAAAATGTGGGAGTCATTTTGTCATGAAGCGACTAGAGTTTTTGTATTACTTCGATAAGAAGGGCCTACTGTGCATAGGTCGTTAAAAACAGGTTAAAGAGGTTGTTAAATGTATGCATGTCTCACCAAGAGTCGTATGTGATGACGTGACTATGCAAAACCAATATGTCACCATCATTACATGCACATTTCCCCTATGCGTTCTTATTTTTGCAAGAGTTAGTATAGTACAACTGTGTTGCTAAAAACGAGTTATCGAATTACGTAAGCTCTATGATGCAAAGAAGATACTGACTGTGATGAAAGCGGGTGAGTATTTTAGGTCGTTTATAGAAGGTCAGAAGTCCGAACCACAAACTTGTAATAACGCTATCAAAATTGTTTTCCAGGGAACCTAAAAGCAGAATAGCTCATTGCATCTATTGTCTTTTGAGATCCGAGTATGGATAAAGTATTAGACTGTCATTTGCACCAAGCATGCGGATGCGTTATCTCAGTTGCCGCAAGAAACCTAGGCAGTATAATTCACGACACACCGGAAAATGATGAGAGTGGCCTTTCGCATAGGTGAGAGAGTTCTGGGGTTGACGCATTTTTTTTATTCGGAAGCGAAAAGGCCGATGGTCACGTTATCTTCGACAGCCACAGCTGGAAGGGCATACTGAATACTACTTGGGTACGTCGTAGAAAATGGTTATCGGAAAAAACAGAACGAGAAATCATAAAGATATTTCACCCTTGAAAAAAGTTAGTTTCTTTTGGTCGCTTATCACAAGGTTGGTCCAGTGTACTGGATCGCGATCACCTACCACTTCCTACCTGAAGGGTAGAACTATTTTGCAAGTACCTATTAGCACGCTACGATTGGACGGACGGATTTGTCGACAACAAGTTTTAATCGAAGTTTCCAGTTTCGAACGCGAACGATTAGTGACGCCTTACTCGCGTGCATTTGCGGGGCATTGCAAAGCCCTTTCGGCTCTTGAGAAAGCAGAGCTAGGGGCTATCTATTCTATGTCAAGAACCGTCGAGCAACTACACAATGCTTTCAGCTTCAGAGCCAGAAGCTGACGCTTTACACAGGGAGTTTCAACTGCGACGACCAAACTTAAAAAAACTAAATTATTGGCTTAATTTGTTTGTACAAAATGAGAATTGGGGGTCTACTTATGAGAGCACGTTGAATCAGGATGAACTAGTTAAAAAAGGATTGTACAGCTTTGTTTATGCAATCAGGTGAACAAGTGATCGTGTACCAATTCGAGTTGCAAAAATAAGCCTCCTGCAAGCAAGTGCTATTAAAACAGCGAAGAGGTGGAAGCAGTAGGTTTGACGGAAGACTTTGGTCTTCGCTCATTCGATAGTTAGATCAGGAATGATGTCGGACGACTTTTTATGAATGTAATTTTTGATTTAGAAGAAAATTTAACATATTGGGGACCAGGCAAGACTTATTGCGTAAGTCACGCTTTAAATTTCTATTTGGCGTTCGGGAGTCATATTATATCCATACCCAATCCAAACCGGACGATGGCGTGTGTGAACCGATGAAAGCTTAGTTATTGGGTAGACGGACTAAATGAGGCAGCCTCTGCCATAAATAGATGAAATCACGTGAAACACAGGCGGATGCACGTGCTGCGCTAAATTTTGTCAAGGATTTCTGACAACGGTCATTAACGTAGTACACAAAATATTTTCGGCGTTTACAACGTTTCGCGAAGTACTGCGCCAGCTCTCACCGATACCTTGTCGGTGTTTTAGCATTACGAAGGCCTGAACTAGAGCACTGGCCATACGTATTTTCAGATAAAGCTTGCGCCGTCGTGCCGAGTGCTAATCGAGCGGCGAAATATGGTGAATGGCGTTGAGCCCATTTTTATGCTATTTACTTGTTAGGTGCTATAGCTATCGGCTCAGCAACGGATCTGGGACGATTGATATTTAATTGCTGTTTGTGGAACATGGCAAATTTACTAACGATTTAAAGGAATCTAGCTAACATTATGGGTTTATGTATACATAGTACAACATCTAAATCTTCTTACGGTTCGCTTTTAGGACTGTGCATAGATACAAATGTTTTAATAGAATGTTCACATGTATCAGAAGTGTCGTTCCTTTTCAAGGTAATTGCTGTTTGTTGAATTTAACTATTATTTATATCAATTGCGGGTCTAATTTAGGACCTAAACTGTTCACTAATCACTTTTGTATCAAACGCTTAGGTGTATCACAAAACGACTTCTTAAGCATTTTGAGTTATTTGAAGCCTTTTAAATCCTAAAGCTATTGAGGGCCTTAAGATTTGCCTCATAAAACCCTTGAGGCAACCCCTTCAAAAGTCTTCAGAATTTTTCAGAAACCGCATGAAAATTGATAATAACATATACCGCCGACCTCGGGCAAAAGGGGAAGTATCTGATTTTGTTGAGGGTTAGAAGAAGCGGTTTTTTTTGTTAGTACCAAGAGTGACAAACAAGCGCGTGCCCGTCACGACAAATAGCTCGTTGAAACCTGCCCAATTTAGATGCCGTACCATCTAATGAACACAATTTACAAATCAGAGCTATGCGTAGTGAATTGCATAAGCAAGTAGCAGGAGCTTAAGTGAAAAAAGGTAAGTATCTTTTCATGGTAACTTGCGGCTACTTTACTACTAAGCACATTTTATTTCGTCTGTGTGAAGTTAAAAGCCAGTAATATCTTCAGTAGAGGCAATCTCGAATGACGACCAGCTATAATGTAATAGCTTTTTTCCATAATATAGTTTAAACACAGTTCATGCTACACATTTTCTGGTACACTTGTTCATTTAATACAACTTTATATTCCTGATATATCAGCGTTAACAATTCTGGTAGTCCTCTCGGGTTTGCAACTACTTGTATGGACGGCATCGTTTTCAAATCTTGTAGAAAATGGAAAAGAAGTTGCTATGGTCAGTATATGAGCAACGAAATTATCATCACGTTCTATGGCGAAAAGCAAGCTTTTTATTCGAATTGACCTAATTAGCTTTATCTCCGCGCAGATGTGTCCAGGATGTGTCTGCAGTAAGCCACAAAATTATGTTGAATCCAATCGCTTTAAGGGGTCGTTTTCGGGTCGAAGAGGTACGCTAGCTGACACCGTTAGCTGAACTGAGATAGGATAAATAGATCATTACATAGCTTTCGAAGCCATCCATCAGATGACGCTTAGGACGTTTGACGTTTACTAATTTACATTATTTAGCGTAGATTTCTGAAATAGATTTAACAAGAAAATGTTATAAACATAAATGTTACCAATTGACTGATTGTTTTTATGCTCTGGAAACAAAGACGAGTTTCCGGGCATATTTCTTTCCTAGTCCAAATCAGAGGTTTAGTTTGTTTTACATATAGAGATTAATGTCAGCCAAATTTTCTCCCAGGAACCGCTTGCACAAATCGACATGTTTCAAGTAATTTTAGATTATGACTCTGCATGATTGAGCATCAGTTTCACCTTTACTTCAGGAATATTGGTTTCACGGCCCTGGTCGATACACGCTAAATCACATAGCCTCGCAAGAAAACATCGAGATCAGCCATATCGTCGAACCAGAACGGCCACTAGATGTCGCTGCCGCGTATCCAAATAAAATGGCCTGAGAACCTGGTTCTAAGCTGATTAATCATTCCCAGCGCAGTGTGGCAAGCTGAATAGGACGGGGCAACCTTAGTGAATCCAAACATTGTTCGTATTGAATATTTTTAACAGGACGGTTTCTAATATATCGCAACAGAATCCGTCATTGGTTGTTGCTGTCGCTGTCAAAAAAAAAACCCCAATGGCTTTCTCGACTCATTATGAATAAGGTTGTGGTTTAATATTCTCAATATATAGTTCGGTCCCCCTATAAGTCTCAGATGCGACTAATTCATTTATTTACATAGCCCCTCAGCTGAGGACAGGCTTTATTTAAAAAAAAAAATATATGGTCAAAGAAGTGGCTAGCGCGTACCTTGCGCTTTAACATGTTATCAACTTATGACAAATAGCGCTTATAATAACACTCGATCCACGATTATTGAGTCAGCTGATTATAGATGTGGAAATGAATTTTTCCTTTAAAATGATCCGCGGAGTGTTTCTCGATAAACTGAGTTGTTGAGTATAGCGTCGCATTGAAGTCATTGGATGTCAATGTGACGCTGCTCCGAAATATAGCCCTGTTGCCACTCGATGCGCGTCACTTACGGAATGTTATCGTAATAAACCTCCCAATCGGATAATATAATAGGTTTTTATAGAAAATAAACGTTAGTCCAGACTGTAGCCTTCTATCACCACAAACCGAAGGCGCTTCTGCGTTTATCACCCGAGAATCTGCTAACTTCGTTGCGTGTTTACAACTACGGGGAAGGAAAGACGAAGGCGAATATTTTGTTTTTTTCCTTAGAGCGTCAAAATCAACGTTGGTTTCTATTGAAACATATCGTTTTTGTATCGAATCTCTACTTTTGCCTAACAACGTCTTTATTAATCTGACATATTTGGTGGCGTATAGCGGTTACTTGGTGAGTTAGCCACAAATCGATCATGCGAATACATTTTTTTTTTGTGTATAAGGAACGATTAAACGGGATTTCCGGTGAAAAAAGACATAGCGTAGTGCAACCACGGAGAATTGTATGAGCTTTTGCACAGTGTCAATACGACTATAAGGTCAGGGTCAGCGATTGGGTTCCCTCAACAAAAATTTATCGATGCCATCACCAGTAGATAGTTTTCATAACAACGTATATTGTTTTGTAAGATTCACCGTTCTGAGGAAAAGCACAATTTTGACGAAACTTCAGAATAGTTTGACGAAACAAATTTTCGATCTATAAGAATGTTGGCGTCCATGAAAAGGAATGGCCTAAATTCGGACGCTTAAATTTGCAGTCATTCAATGTAGATATCAAGCTTCCCACGTGCCTGCTCTATTATAGGAGCAGCGGTTCTCTTCAACGACAGCTGACTGACTGTCGTGCACCTGATTCTGCTTCACATCAGGCAATTTGCATGCAAAATCGTTTGGTGTACTATAATATGTGCACGTTGGTCACATCGCTCTTCCTTGTAACCTTTATTACATTCGTGATAACGCTACAATCCGTCTACGCTTTCATGTAACGCGCAGTTTCCTGGCATGAACGGGAAGTGGATGTGTACCGGTATGCCTCATTGTCTGTCAATCACTGAACGGTACGTACGGGTAATTATAAGTAAAATCGATCCCTTGATAGAAACAAACGTTTACCATGCAGGCCAATTGATCTGCTAGAACTCTTCGTGAGATCGTAGCGGTTGATTGGCGACAACTATCTATCGCGCGTTAACCAACAGAGACAAAGACTGTTCCTTAGTTTTAAATTGTCCCATTCAATTTTATAGTCTTTCACGTACAAAGCCTTCTGCTTCTGCACGATCGAACACTCGTTTAAAAGCTGAGAGTACTAATGATTCTATTCATAATTATTTTTACCACAACACGATAGATTATTTCCAGAAAATCTAATAAGGAAAAAAGTAACTAAGTACCTCGTTTGACATAAAAACTTTTAGGAAAAATTAGAAAACATTTGCTTTATACGAAAGCCAGTTTGCACTTAGAGAGCATCTCAGCGAATTAAAGAAAAAAAAGCTGTTGATACTGAAGTCGACGAGGTACACGAAGTTGATTGCCGTGGTTGTTCAGCGTCATGTACATAAAAAAAACTAAAAGCTCGCTGACAAAAGGTCTAGGGATAAAGGTACACAGTCGTACATGTGCACAGATACATCCTCATTAGTAGATGTCATTAAGAAGCATCGTGCTGCTGATTTGATTCAGCTAGGGCACTGGGTGTATTTGGCGATTGACTCGCACAACTTTTTATAGAAGTTTATTGTATAGTACCTACAGCTAACGCTTTAATGGAAATAGAAGTTATTTCTACAAGTACTTTTTTTTGAGCATGAAAAAGGTCAAAGCGGAACAAATCCACTGCATCCACTCTATCATCCCTTTCTTCTTTCCTTTCTTATCAAGTCCTAATAAATTCGCCATCTCTTATTAGAGCATTGAATATGCGCGCAGCTTTCCTTAGGTGCGATACACCAAATGATATAAAATGAATGTCAAATCCCAATTGTCAAACCTGACCATAATGATATACAAAACTAATGTTCAGAAGCTCTGTTTTTCCTGATGACTATATAAACGAATATAGATTTATTAAGTTTAACTATAATTCAATAAAATAAACTCTCTTAAGCATAAGTGCTCTTATCCTTTATTCTTTTGCATTGACATTTTTCGATCAACTCCTCAATTTTGGGCAGCGTTTTTGTTGTAATTATTCTAAACTGTTCACCATACAATTTTTGCTATGGCTGTGCTCTACAGCTATTTTGAAACTTAACAAAAAAGCGTGAAAAGTTCATATATGAATTTCTGCGTATTTTATTTATGCAGAGTGGCTTCTCAGTGAGACGATATTCAGTTTCCTGCTGTTTCTTCACACTGCAAGGAGGTAGTCTATGAGGATACCCTTTATGAGATTAATTTAAAAAAATGTTTAATACTTTTGAAGACATTTGGATTTACCGAGAATTTATGAAAAGGCTTAAGGGCAGGCCTGCTTGTAGAGAGAATAATTATCACCTTGTAGAGTTAACTTCGCGGCTTCGTTTCACGCTTTTTCAGTTAATCCGTTATCTCATTGCAGGCAATCCATTACCATTTGTCCGCAACATTAGCGCCAGTATCCTGTCCCCTTTACCGTGATAGTCTCTCATGTTAGTTTGATGTCTGTTTAGTTTTCTGACGTATTACGTTAAAACCTACTTCAGTCCAACTTTAATGCTCATAAGAAAACTGATAATGTAAATTCGAACTGAATGTTTAACCTTTATATTTCTTTGCTGATATAGCGATCAATTGTAATTAATTCGTTATCGCGCTATATGTATTTAACTGCCTAAGGAAAGATCTGGTTTTAACCTCAGAACTTCTGACAAAGGCCAAAGTATGCCTCGGTAAGGTGCGGTCTTCAAAGCGGCTAGTTCGGGTGATGTTTTTTTTCGTTTGTCAAAAACAGAATGTAGACTATTGTGCTGAACTTTACACTCAGTGTCTTATTGAGCACTTTTTTCAGATGTAAGCGAACATACACTAACACAGTTCTCTAGCTATTGAACATGTGCGGTTATCCATTAAACATTTACTCAGCTCCCCCATTTTTCCATTGTAAGCTATTAATAACTTAACAATTTAAAATGAAACACTAATGGTAAAAATATGAGAAACAGGTTATTTAAAAAAATCAATTTTCTGCCGAATTGTTTTATTCATTTATCCGTACATGTTCCGTACACGAAGGTGGCGAAACGTAGGAGCTCAGTATAAAAATTCAGCCCTCATTCATAACGTAATTTTCACAGTTCGTATTAAAAAAATCCACAACCCGTCAATAACTTCAGAAATTCCTTAGTATAGACCTATTAAACAAACGCATAGATTTCCATATGATTAAAAAAGGCTTAGATAAAAGGGTAAAAAAAGAGCGTTAAAAGGTATCTTACGTGGAGAGTGTGATCGAAGTTGCTGCTGCTGGTAGCAGTTCCCAAAAAGGAAACCGATTATCTCCTGAAATTCCTTTCATCCAATAAATTGCAAGGAACACTATTTCGCATATGAACAAAGTCAGACGAACTGGAAAAAACGGAATTCAATATTAGTTTCATGGACCTTAAATACGTTGGAGTTTACTGCAGGATATTTGTTCGCCATTAAATCTCTGGGATTAGGCTATAGAAATAAGTAAATGACAATGACCCCTAGCAGCGTTGAAAAGTTAAGCAGCTCGTCGTAGGAACAATGTGTACGCCATGGGGTTCCCAAATTTTCCAACCACTCTACCGTATGTTAGCACAAATAGCCTGACAACTACTGTAGACTGTTTATGATTGAGTTTAAACGTTGCATTTAACGAGTGCGGCGGGTAATTCAAAAAGAGGCAGGGGAAAACATCGGAAATAAAGCCAAATGATAACTTGTCGCAATTTTTTTACATTTTAATCCTTTTCAGGTAACGAGAAGCTTTCTGCGATAACACTTCGATATTAAGCTTTGTCTCGCTTGCCCCATAAACGTAACTTGTTTCCCAATCTTCACATTGGCGCATGTTATCAATAATGAAATAGGTTGGCAATCATTTGCTCTTAAATCAGCAGATAGGCCAACTTGGATTAGCATTAAGCGCTAGAGGAAGCAGAGATTATTTATTAAGCAAAAACATATATCCAATCTGTGCCATCTTACAATAAAATGCTTTATAGCTATTACTTGACGGGGATAAATTGACCGAAAAACTTCTCTTCTCCTTCGCACCTTTGACGAAATTTAGTTCAGCGTATATGTACATATAGATGATCCGGCGGTCACGTATATATATATATATATATAAGGGACCTGTGCAATGACCAGGTCCTTTTATTCGACCTTTACTCACATCCTATCTATAGCTTAGACGACAAGCCTGGTGTACGTTAACAGTTACACCGTTCGATTGAGCTTCAGGTATTCAGTGGTTTCTTTAGAACTATACTGTACTTTGTTCCCATAGAATATACAATTGCATTATAGTGATTTCATTTGCCTATTCTTATGTTGACGAATCTGACTTGGCTTACACCTAAACTGACATAATCTATCGTTCGGATTACAGGTTTGCATTTTCTGCAAGCTATTTTGTTGCAGCTGTTATTGGGCTAAAATTAACGAACGTCTTTTTATATTTCGAAACAATATTATTAAGCTAAATAGGCGAGATTTTGATAGATGGCCCCCTCTGTCATTTTTCGGGTAACCCCAGAATCCCATCAGCGTGGAACTTTTGTGATTTTTGCATTGAAGCTAAGTTGATTAAGGGAACTTTGCAGAGATTCAAACAGATGATTATCCGACAAATGTATGTAGTACGGTGCCGTCATCGGCCGTTGTCCTGCTCGCCTTTTTTTTAATGGCTTGTTGTAATCTTATTTGTTGTTGACCGCAGAGGTCCGAATCAACCATTTTGTCAGGCGACGACAGCATATAAAGCACGATTCCCTTCCAATAGCACTATACACACAAGATCGATCGATCATCTTGTTCGGTGCCGGTCCGACTTGTGCTACAGACTGTGGGGTGTATTTTCATTAGTTTTTTCGCACATTTTTACCGTACACGATCATTTTCTTTAGAACCGGTGATCAATCGCTTTAGAAATGGCTCATTTTCATTGTGTTTCAGTAGAGTTTTGCAAGTAGAAATACGATCGAGTAAACTATTTTCATCAGTTAACGTGGCACCTAAACATCAACCTTCTTTTTGTAGCCAGTTTTTTTCGAATAGTTTACAACTGTTTAGTCGTGAACGTTTAGTTCCTTGACGATGTCATGGCTACTTTTGCGTATCGATCTTACTTAATTCATCAGCTTTTTCCTGCAGCTTGTCGGCCGTTACGAGGAGCGTCCCTCATATCGAAATTTATAGGACGAATGCATTAGAATTATCGTTAGGTCGTTTTTTAAAAGCATGCATCCTGACGGCAAGCAGGACATTTCTTGTATGGGCCTGGGCTGCGTCTGTGCTTTTGTCGTAATAAATAGATTGTAAGATGTAGTAGTTCTTATTCTTTCTTACTCAACCTCAACGACGCTGACCCACGACGACATGTTGCAAAAGATATGTGATTTAGCTATAAAAGCGTTAATACTTTTTCGGCAACTCGACATACTTTGCTGATTTACCCAGTTACGTTGCTACAGATACTTGATTAACCTATTTTAGTAATATGTTACGTACGACCTAAAGTTAGTCAGAACTCGGCGGAATTGTCGTTCCCTTCTATTTAAATATCCCGCTCAGCTCATTATTTTAGTGCAACTAGTACACTGGTATATTACGATGAACTTATTATAATACTCGATCCACTCTTCTACGCGAAGAAATAGGTGATATTGCTTTCAAAGTTGCCACAGTAGACTCAGGCCAGTCTTACTCCACTTAGCGTATAGCCATTATCTAACCAACAAATCGCCTTATCCAAATGCAGGTCCCCAATATTCCATTACCTCGTTAATAGATAACTTGACTTTTGATGTAAACATTCTCGTAACGAACACGAATCAGTGTTCTTTCAGAGCTTTTCCACTATAATTAATAACAAATCTAACGAATTCTCAATAATTCTCATTATAGCAGTTCCCCTGGCCATGTTTCGTTCTACGCATATTATTGTTCCGTCGATTTCGATGTAAAGAGGGCTACGTTATTTAGTCTGCTGTACTAATGCCGTTAGCTCCTACCGAAGTTTTTCGGTGATGTTCCTACTTTTCAGACATACTGCTCCCTAACTGATTCTGTTCGATCTCACTAGAAATACTGATTAATGCCATATATCTGAATATCCTTCTTTTTTTTTTTTGTTTTTTATAGCCCCTTATGTATTATGCATTGAAGTTCATAAATTGCAACAGACATTGTAAAACTGAAGTTTCCGAAAACATTATTATCCGCATTACTTAATCAGAGTATCTTCACCTTAAGCTGGATTAACACTAACTGAATAAATACATACAAACTAACACTTCATATAATACAACTTAGTCTACAAAGCGCATTCTGTTAACGGCATTTTCCTTGGACATTAATTTTCGTGATATAGGCGCTACGATAATCTGCAATACTCCGGCGGCTAAAGCTGGCACTTCATATCTATTAAATTACAGAATTATAACCTAAATACCGAAAATGTGGGAACTCAGCAAGAAATGGATCCCCGTCAATTGACTTTAGGCTTGTTACGTTTTAGTTCGACAGTAGTACCGAGTTTATTCGGACCCAAAGCGATGATAAAAGTGGTTTCAATGGACATTAGAAGCATCCTCTATGGCAAAAATGAAACAATTAATGCAAACCGCTCTCTCGAGTTGCTCGGGAGACCCACGGAGTGTCGGCATACTTATCGAAAGCTCATAGCCTGGTTACTTGATGATAATGCCAGACCTTACCGCACCGATACCTTGTTGGATTCAGCGAACGAATATTCGACATGGGTTTCAACCCACTTTTTCCTTTGACCCAAGTCTTCGTGATTACGGGACTTTTCGTGCCCAGAAAACGCATATAATGCACAAACAGATCCCACTATTATTTTGGATGGAGAGGTTACATATGGGAACTCGAATGCTATGTATATAAAGAGGAAGAGGAAGGTAGAGAGAGAGAGAGAGAGGGAGAGAGAGAGAGAGAGAGAGAGAGAGAGAGAGAGAGAGACAGAGGAAAAGCGGAAGTTTTATTCTATAAAATCCTATAAAAATTAACCCAAAATTTTGATAGTTTGAGAGAGTTTTATGTAACACTATTTTTATTTATATTCTATACTTAATATATAGTGTTCTTCAAGTGTACGTTTTCAGAAATAGATTGCATAAAAAGTTACCATCATTACGATTCATTTTAGCTTTAACGATACGTAACCTTCGGTTCTATTCTATTATTACAAGACTAAGAAATATATGTATGTCCCACATAGTAAGATCTAACAATAAACGGCTAAGAAGCGTGTGTTTATTACCGAAACTGACCGCAGCAGATTTAAAAGTATCACACACGCTAATAACTTGCGACAGATATTAAGGGAAATGTAACCTAATAAAGATTGAAGGCGTGGTGTCTATTATCGAGCTAAACACTGACAACAGACGGTCAGCGATCTAACTACATAAAAATCAGAACAGACTAAATCCTTTCCCTAAGAAAACTAATGTGTAACGCACGACAAAAACGAAGTACAGGTTGTATTTGGCATCGTTTTTTACACAGGACGAACGAATAACTGAAGAAAACCAGTAAGATCACTGCGACACGATCATTAAGCACTTGTCTCCAAGGGAAAAAACACAGCGGCTTCTGTTGGCAGGATTGACATCGCCATCACCAGTATGTTTGAGGTGTTCGAACTAAACACGCTAGCCCATAGAAACATTAACAGCCTATACATACATAGCCTACGTAACAGCAGACAATACATTAAATGTCCACCAAAAACGGTTCGAGTCCATCTTATAGCAGGCATTGATTCCTAATTTTAAACTTTGGAACAAACAAAAGATGCCGTAACCAACTCACAGAGGCGCGCGCTCTGCTGCGAATGTTCAACTTAATAGCGTACATGCTCGATATTTTTTTAATCGTAGTATTTTGTTTTTGGCACAGGTATAACAATTACTACTATATGTTGCATTGTAGTAATTATAAAATAAGATTGTTGACGCGGTACCCAAAACCGATCTGTTGCACGCATCCTAATTACCAAAGGTGAGACTCAATCCCAAGAAGAACGCTGAAACGTGAGTTTGATGAAAAAATCCTTCTGGCATACCACCTCACCAGACCGCAACTATCACAAGAATAGATTCACCGAAACGCTTTCCGGAAACAAGCGAAAGCAAAAATTGGCACCACTGGCATCCGATAAAAGACAAGCGACCTATTGTCAGACTTGGCCTCTGAGCAGATACTCAATGCCTTACCGCGCGTGCCGATCTCGTCGGCGCGTATAATCGCTGGCTAAACGATGTGGAAGTGTCAGTCTAAGCGCCAAGGGAGATTTCTAGCCTTAACTAGGGATCTCTACATGGACTAATCCGCAGCCGTCGTATCAA